CAGTCACTGCCCCCTGCGGCAGGCAGACAGGCTCCCGGGGCCGCGCAGACGGACAGACAGAAGGCCCTAAGCTAGCCTTCGCCAGCAGACTCCCACACTGTGCACTGTGCGCAGACCTCACCCCTCACACGCACACTCACAAAGCCTGGCTTGCTCCACTGAGGACCTCAGCGTCCCTCTGTCCAGAGTCCGGGCTTCCGGGCACCGACCCTGGGACCCCTCGCTCGCTTTCTTCCTGGCCAGCTCCCTGGGCAGCCCCTTCTCCGGCCGTGGCTGCTGAGCGGTGGGCGAGGTGAGGGGCTGCGAAGGAGCAGCGAGGGAGCGTGCGGGCCTGTGGTGAGCGGTCACGGCAAGGGGGGCGGTGACAGCGGGGGGGGCATGCTGGACACAGAGTGGCTGACAAACACCACAGCCACACTCTGGCCCAACCCTGCCCCGTTCTCCAGGGCTGTGAGGGCCTCAGGGGCTGGCGCGCATCCTGCCCTAGGCGAGACACCTGTCAGCGCACAGGCCTGGTGCGGGGGGCAGAGGCCAGGCAGCCCGGGAAGGCGCGAGGTGGCCTCGGGACACTGGGAGAAGGTGGAGGGTGGCCTGCGCGGGGACGGGACAGGTGGCAGGTGGCAGGAAGGCCAGCCACCCCAGACAGGAAGCCGCCGGCCCCGGGGGACTTTCCACAGCATGGTAGGGAGCACAAAGGCCGGGGAGGGGCTCCCCGCGTCCAGGGAGCTGTCCTGTTCCCACAGCAGGTGTCTGGCCCCCGTCCGCCGGCCTGTGTGTGCGGGCGAGGAAGCAGCTCTGCGGCCGGCGGCGTGGCAGGGCGTGTCCTCCCCAGCCTCCAACTCCACCAGGGGCACCGCCACCTCGTACGGGGCTTGCTGGCCACCTGGGGCCCTTCGCTGGCTTTGATTACCTGCTCTGCGCGGGTTCAACACTCCAGGCCGAGATGGAGGATAATGGCGCTGCCGCCGTCACCCTATGACCCACGGGGGGCGTGGAAGCTGCCGCACGCAGGCCCGGACGCTCGGTATTTATAGAATACCATGAGGGCCAGGAGAGAACCGGCCACGAAGCAGGAAATGCCACCGGGAAGAAACAGCCGCTTCACACTGCAGCTGGGGGCAGGGCTGGGACAATGAGAGCTTGATGGCCACTGAACCCCGGGGTACACTCCTGCAGGCGCTTGTGGCGCACCCCGGCTCCTCTTTGTTGAGCCCCGTGTGAGGGTGCGGCCGAACGGCAGGCCTGCTCAGCTGTGTCCTGGCTCAAAAGGTTTCATATACTTGGCAAAGTTTAACTAACTTCAGAAAAATTTGGTACAGTATTTAAATCTGATGATTCGTTGAAATAAAACATTTAGAAGAATAAAAATAGCCAGGCCCTGGGAGCTCACGGCTTGAATCCCAGCTACTCAGAAGGCTGAGATCTGGGGAATCACAGTTCTGTGTCCACTCAGGTAGGAAAGTCCATGAGAGGCTCGTCTCCAATTAACCACACAAAAAGCCAAGCGGTAGAGGGCTAGCCTTGAGGGGAAAAGCCAAGGGAGAGGGTAAGGCCCTGAGTTCAAGGCCTACCACTAGCATAGGCACATACGCACACGCGCATGCACACACAAGTCAACAAACAAAACCCCAGTTTATCTGCCCGAGGGCACCAGCTCCAGCTCTATGGGATGCAGTGTGTGATCAGAGGACTGGGAAGAGAATCACACCCACACCCTTTTCACGCTGGAGCGCGCGCACACGCACACCCTATACACGCGCGCACACACACACACCCCACACACGCGCGCACACGCACACCCCACACACGCACGCATGCACATACCACACGAGCGCACACACACACATACCACACACGCGCGCACACGCACACACACCCCCCACACCCCCCCACACATACCACACACGCACACACACCACACACACGCGCACACACACCCCACACACGCACGCACACACACACCCCCACACGCGCGCACACACACACATACCATACACGCGCACACACACATACCACACACGCGCACACACACACCCCACACATGCGCACACACACATACCACACACGCACACACACGCACGCACACCCCACACACGCGCACACGCACACACCACACACGCGCACACACACACCCCCACACACACCCCACACGCGCACACACATACCACACACGCGCGCGCACACACACCCCACACACACGCGCACACGCACACACACCACACACGCGCGCACACGCACACACAACCACACGTGCGCACACACACACCACACATGCGCGCACACATACCACACGCGCACACACACACACATACCACACACATGCGCACACACACACACACCCCACACACCCCACACACGCGCACACACACATACCACACGCGCGCACACACCCACACACGCACGCACACACCCCACACACGCGCGCACACACACATACCACACGCGCTCGCACACACACCCCACACACGCACTCACGCGCATGCACACACACACACCCCACACACGCACACTCACGCACACACGCGCACACACACACGCACACACACCCCCACACACCCCACACCTGCGCACACACACCCCGCACACACACCCCCCACACACGCACGCACGCACACACACACGCGCGCGCACACACACACACCACACGCGCGCACACACACCACACGTGCACGTGCACACCCACACGCACACCCCACATGCGCACACGCACATACCACACACGTGCGCACACGCACACACACCCCCCACACCCCCCCACACGCACACACACACATACCACACACACACCCCACACATGCACGCACATGCACACACACACCCCCACACGCACGCGTGCATACACACACGCACACACACGCGCGCGTACGCACACGCACACGCACACACACGCACACCCCCCCCCCCACACCCCACACACGCGCGCACACACACCCCACACACGCGCGCACACACACACCCCCCACACACGCGCACACACACACCCCCACACACCCCACACGCGCGCGCACACATACCACACACGCGCGCGCACATACACATACACACACCCTACACGCGCACACATACCTCCCCACACACACCCCTCCATGCACACGCGCACACACACCCCACATGAGCACACACACATACCACACGCGCGCACACACACATACACACACACACACCCCACACGCACACACACCTCCCCCACACACCCCTCCACACACACACGCGCACACACACCCCACACGCACATGCACACCCCCCACATGCACGCACACCCCCACACGCACACACACACACGCACCCCCCACACACCCCACACACACGCGCACACACATACACACACACCCCACACACCTCCCCCCACACCCCTCCACGCACACGCGCACACACACCCCCCACATGCACACACACACACCACACACGCACGCGCACACACACACACCCCACACGTACATGCACACACACACACAGGCACGCACACACACACCCCCACACGCACACACACACACACGCACCCTCCCCACACGCACACACACACCTCCCCACACCCCCACACACACGCACACACACACACGCACCCTCCCCACACGCACACACACACCTCCCCACACCCCCCCACACGCACACACACACACACACGCACACACACACACACACACGCACCCTCCCCACACGCACACACACACCTCCCCACACCCCCCCCCCACGCACACACACACACACTGCCCTGGGACTTCCCAGAGGCTGCAGGCTGATCCATTCCTGCTCTCTGGAGACTGCATGGCCATGTGATGACAGCACAGCAGTCCCGCAGGGCCAGGGACCTCCGGAAGATCACCTCCGCAGCCGACTCTGGTGGCATCCTGACCTCAGGCCGCTGCCCCCCCTCGGAAGTGCCCCCGAGCGGACCGGGCCTGCGCCGGCTGGCGCTCGGGGGCAGCCTCGGCGCCAGCCCCAGGGCTGGCAGGAGCACTCCCTGGGGGTGCCGCAGGAACCCCTGTTCTCTGCCCATGTCCCTCCCTGCTCCGCCACTTCAAACCACGGCCTGGAGGCAAGGACGTAAGAGGCCCTGGTTGGCTTCCTCCCTTACATTCCCTCTGGCAAAACAGGGAAACAGCTGGGCAAAGACCTAACGCTGGCTCAGGGCTTCATTCAGGGGCTGCAGAAGGGACTGGGCCTGGAAACGGAAGCACGGAGTCCCATGATCCACCCCCCCCCCCCGCGCAGCGGTGAATGCAAGCCCCCCTTTCCACAGGACGCCCCCCTTCCCACGGGTCGATCCTGGGTAGCCGCGTGCACCCAGCATCACAGCTCCTCCGAGCTGTGTCCAGGTGGGAAGGGCCGGCGGGGCCTGGCTGGCACTTCCGGTGTTCAGAGCCAGGGCTGAGGTAGCGCATTAGCAGCTGGACAGAGATATCAACACGGTGACCACGGGGCCCTGACCCAGCGGGGCACACTGCTGCGGGGCTCCAGATGTTTCCGGAGGGCGCCGCCCCGCCCCCACCCCGCATGCCACCGGCAATGTGGTGGGGCCAGCAGGGGGGACTGCCAGCGACAGTCCCGGGACGCCACTGGCTGCCACGCTGGAAGCAGCCGTGGTGGGGCCCGGGCCCGGCTGGCACAGGGCCCGGGGACAGGCCAGGGCTCGGAGGTGGACACAGCCAGGCGCAGGGAGAGCGTCCTGGCCTGGGGCATCCGTGCTCTGACTGGACGGTGCGCCCAAGGCCGGAGCGTCCGCCCCACGGGACCCTTCCAGATGCTCTGGGCAGAGCCACAGCGGCCCGGTGCTTCCGTCTGGGCGGCTCCGTGGAGCAGACCTGGGGCATCAGACCTGGGTCCCGCTGCGCCACCTCCGGTCCCTGCCTTGGTCCCCCGGCCTCCGGGCAGGGCCGGGGGTCCCGGGACCCCCCACGGCCACCCCCCTCCCAGACCAGTCCCAACGGCCTGTGCTCCGACATTTCACGCACACACGTCCCAGACGGACCCGCTGCTGGGGGAGGGCGCGGCTGTCCTACCTTGTTATAGTAATGCACCAGCACCGAGTGCCACCGCCCGTCGCTCACGCCTCCGGGGACCACGGGTGCCACCATGGTCGTTGTCTCCCCTGCAGAGGGAGGAAGACCCAGAGAGAAACGGCCGGGTAAGGCGGGCGGGCCGAGGATCAGGCCGGACACCTCGCTCCCAGCCCGCCCGGGGCCCCCTTCCTCCACACGGCCCCTGTGGTGACGCGTTCCCCACCCCCCGCCTCCGGGCCAGGGACACTGGCTCTCGGCCCTCACCCGCTGGAGCAGGGCGTGGCTCACTGGGCCCCAGACACAGCACCGTGTCCCTACTGCCCGTCCTGAGTCTTTCTAGTTACCAATACAACCCTTGTTCCTCCTTGTAAAGATGGAGATTGCGACAGGAAGGGTTTGTACCAGGCTGGGACCGCAGAGGTCCCCTCCAGCTGGGCACCACCGCCCATGCGGTGCTCAAACCTCTCCTCTTCATAAACTGTTGATCTCAGGTACTTTGTTACAGTGACAGAAAGCTGGGTGGCAGTCATCATGTGTGCCAGAACCACACAGATGGGAATGGCAGACAATCCCACAGACGCTGCCGCCTAATGGCCTTTGTTAATGTTTTTAACCTTCGGGGCATTGAAGGTAGCTAAGGGGTACAACGCTCACCTACCACGCACAAGGCTGTGTCCTAGCTTCAGCACGGAAAAAGAAAACTAGCCGAGTATAATCCTACTCAGAAGGCTGTGATCTAGAGGATCACGGTGCAAAGCCAGCCCAGGCAGAAAAATTCACAAGACTCTACCTCCTCAAATGCAAGAGTGGAGGCCTGGCTCAACCAGCCTTGAGCAAAAAAGAGTATATGGCCCTTTATAGAACGACTCTCAACTCTGGGGAAACGGCAGTTCTGCATTCCTAGTTTCACTGCTGCAGATAACACTGCAGTGAACATCTTTGTGCCTTCTGGAATCTTCTGCTGGGCAGATTCTTGGCCTTAGAATGCGGATGCTAAGGAGAAGCAGCTCGGGTGTTCAAACATGCAGACGGTGGCCCGCACAGCGAGGTCCCCGTCTCGGTCCGGCTGGAGGCCCACCTGCAGAGAAGGTGAGCTGCACCTGCTCCTCCACAATCTCCAGGGCGATGAAGTCATGCTTCTCATTGAAGCGGCCGTTATACAGCAGCAGCGCATTCCTCTCCTGCGTAGCAAACCTGTGGGCAGGGGACCCACGCAACACTGTGAGACCCGGGGTCCTGGGGCTGTCGGGGGGCAGAGGGGCAGCTCCTGGGAGCACACGGGCCTGGGCCAGGAAACACCCTCGTCTTGGGCACCGTTCTTTCTCACACACGCGTGCGCATGTGCACGCCCAAGGTGACACTCCATCAACCACAACCCTCAGGGGAAACTGGTGGGATGTGCCATTACAGATGCCCCATGTCTTGGGAGTGAGATGCGTGGCGTCCACGCAGGTCCTCAGGGCCGGGGTGTGGCCGCTGCTCACGCAGGGCTGCTGGTGTCCAAGGACCACCTCTTGTCCACCTGGCTCTGGCTAGCACTCCAGGCACATGACAGTCTTTTTGCGCCCAATGTGCGGTGAAAAGACCCCAGGGCCTTTGCACCTGCTGTTCCCTGTCCATGGCAATCTTCCCCGGCAATCCAACGACATCTCCTCTAACTCCCTTTCGCTAATTTTCTTTCCTGGCTCCATCAGCCCACTCATTTCTGAAGTTCTAAGAGCAGTTTCTGTAGGGGCAGGATCGTGACTCAGCCCAGGGCCAGGTCTGGTGCACACTCCCTCATAATGAAGATGTGCAGAGGCAGACATACGGAAATGGACTGACTGCAGGTCTTTTAAATATTCAGAGTGAAAAAAAAAAACCAACTTACTCAGGGCTGGAGCCATGGCTCAAGTCTACAGCCTCTGCCTACCAAGCTCTAGGCCTCAAGTTCAAGCTCTAGTACCTAAAAAATAAACCTGGCTGGGCCTGGTGGCTCACTCCTGTAACCCGTTACTCAGGAGGCAGAAATCCAAGGTGAGCCTGGGCAAAAAGTTAGTGAGACCCCCATCCCAGCAAATAAGCTGGACCAGATGCAGCGGTGGTTTGTGCGAGGCCAACCCCAGGCAAAATCTTGAGGCTGTATCTGAAGAAAACAATGAAAGCAAAAAAGGCTGAGCGCGTGGCTCAAGGGGAAGAGCCCCTGCGTAGGGAGTGCACATCTCCACGTTTAAACCTCAGGACTGAAAAAAAACTAGTTTTAAAAAAAAAATTGTATTTTTTTTCTTTCTTGGTTTAGGGGATCGAACCCAGGACGCTGCACTTGCTAGCAAGTGCGTTGCCGCTGAGCTACACCCAAGCCCAGACAGAACCCAACTAGTTCTGACAAAAGATAATCGCCTTGTCAGGACCCCCAGCCCCTATGGTCCTGAAGAAGCAAGTTCCAAGATCCCCAAGGGCCTGAGGGGTCTCAGACCCACCCTGCTCGCCAGCCGCCCAGCACTGGCCCTGCGCCGGCCTCTCCCCAGCTCCATTCCCAGCCGGCAGAACCAGCGCCCCACGGCAGGCCGCCCTCTGTGTCCCAGGCCTGAGTGGGGAGGAAATGCTTCGGAGTGAGCGGGCCAGGCCAGCCGCACCATGCCAGCCCCACACAGGAGCCTCCCCTTAGATTTCATCTTGCAAGTTGCTTTTGGGCAGCGGGAAGCGTTGGCAGGGCGGGGTTTACTGGCTCCTGTGAGCACCATCCTCCAGTAGGACAAGTAGGACTTGGAAATCAAGAAGGCCAGCCCAGGGGCGGGGCTGGAAGATGCAAATAAGCAGATGAGAGGAAATCAGAAACTGAGGCTGGAGGGACAAAGAGTGGGGGCTGGGGCCTGCTGGAGCCGAGCACTGGGCAAACAGAAACTAGAAACGGGGGCCGGCTGGGAAAGCGGCCCAGGGCCCCCCAGGCCTGGCCCTGCAGCCTGGACACCTGCTCCACGCGGGGACAGGGGCGGGGACTTGGATGATTTTGTTTTTGGAGTTGGCCCAGGTGAGGGAAATTATTTGTAACCTTACGAATGAACTCAACCTTAAGTTGAGTTCAGCATTGTGGTCCTGAGCATGCGCCCTGGGTGAGCCGGCAGGCTCCTTCTCCTCCGGCGCCAGGATGACCGGACCTCAAAGGCCAGCGTCCAGTGGGGTCCCTCCTGCAGCTGAGGGCCACCAACGCTCACCCCGGTGGCTGTGGCCAACACATGGCTTCTGTCTGACAAAACCACCTGCCCAAGGCTCTCGTGACACCTGCCACCGTCACCTGGTCCAGATGCAGTCCCCAGAGACTCCTGACCCAATGTGTGTTGGGAGGGGGGGCGGACAGGGACTCGCAGAAGCCCTCTATTTCCAACAGTAAGCCCCACGGGGCCCGCAGAGCTGGGCAGCCCCTGGCAGAGCCCTTGTGTTGGAGACGGATGCCATGACAACCGTCTCTGGCCAGACCGGGGACCGCCCCGG